CGAGTAATTTGGGGATGCTGAATTCAAATGCGATTAAATAATTCCAAATAACGGATGAACCCCGAACCCCTAAAGGCAGTTACTTGTATTTATTTTTTATGTTAACTTAAAATCAATATAAGTCTCATCTTCTGGATCCAGCTGCGATCTAAAAATAAAAACAAATATGCATTTGGATTTTCGCAAGAAAAAAATAATTGTACGATCAGAAAGTTTACCACGGTTCGAGCAATTGGCCATACTAGTCTTGCATGCTGGAGTACCTACATACCAAATTGTACAACAACAGCGCATAGTCCCACAATCTGTTTTGCACCTACATCTATCAAGCTCTATAAGAGCCAACCAAACTGACAGAAGTTCAGACCACGATGGAACTAGTAAATTCTCAGATTTCTTCCAACCCCATTCCATGGGAGACGAAGGCACACACACAATCGATATTATGTTCTTGGCTCCATATATGGCCCTTTCAATATGCTCTTTTAGTGCTGAAGAGGATGGAGGAATTGGTGTGACCGGTTTGTCGCCACGACAAAACATGTCCTTCCTTGCTTTATCAACAGTGCATTATTGAGAATCATACATTTTAACTGTGAATTCTTCAAGCGCTTGTATATTCATTTCAGAGAGTTGTTCCGTTCCTCAAGAGGAAAAGGCTTTCCCAGCTTTGAAAATGCCGCAGTAATATGATCCCCTATCCTAGCCCCCCACTCACATTTTTTCCCTTATGAATTAAAAATAGAAACTGAGTCACAGCCTATAAAGGCGTGAAATCTACGAAGAGCTGTAGCATTTTCTACTCCCAAAGCATTCGCTATATTGTGAACTACTATGTACTTTCGCTTGGAAACAACACCAAACTGAATCCACAGTTCTTTTAGACCATAAGTTGACAGCGAATGGTAAAATGACACAGCAATAACTAATGCATCAGTATCTGAACTGCGAACAGTAACCGAGGAGGCAACAAAATTAACCATATCCTGAATGTGTAAAATTATTCTACAATCGAGTGTTGATAAAGCAAGGAAGGAGATGTTTTGTCGTGGCGACAACCTGTCACACTAATTTCTCCGTCCTCTTCAGCACTAAAAGATCATATTAAAAGGGCATCTTACCAAGCTGGCCATATATGGGGCCAAGCACATAATATCGATTGTGAGCCCCCGTCTCCCGTCTTCCATGGAATGGGGTTGGAAGAAATCTGAGAATCTGAACTTCCGCCGGTTTGGTTGGCTCTTAGAGAGCTTGATAGACGTAGGTGCAAAAAAAAACAGATTGTGGGACTATGCGCTGTTGTTGTACAATTTGGTATGTAGGTACTCCAGCATGCAAAACTTGTATGGCCAATTGCTCGAACCGTGGTAAACTTTCTGATCGTACAATTATTTTTTTCTTGCGAAAATCCAAATGCATATTCGTTTTTATTTTTAGATCGCAGCTGGATCCGGAAAATGAGACCCGGCCATAACCAATATTGACAATAAGTTAACATAAAAAATAAATACAAGTAACTGCCTTAGGGGTTTGGGGTTCAGCCGTTATTTGGAACTAATTAATAGCTATAAAAAATTTGAATTCAGCATCCCCAAATTACTCAAAAATGAGTTTTTTCCTTTGAAATTCGTCAATGCATTTTTTTTTCAATCATGACCCACTATGGTCCCACCAAGGACCCATAAATGGGCCCACATGAGAATTTTGATGGGTGCTGCGCGCAACATGTTTTATTTTTGTCTCAAAAACATGATTACCAAGTTTGTTGCTTTTATCACAATTTGCAGGATTTTCCCAAATATTGAGGTGTACCGCTAGCACTACATATCATAACGAGTATCATTGTCAGGTCTTATGTCCGGATGTTCTCTAATTAAATTTATCTTAACTATGGAGTATTGACCAGATTTTTTTAATAATACGATTTTTGTATTTTTCTATGAAAAACTATCTCAAAAAGACATAGGTATCTACGGACTTACCTACCACTATTCAACTTCTCTCTCTTAAAGAGAGAGAGAGTCTATTTCACGCCCTGCAACCTGAAATAGGCACTACTAACTCGTAAAATAATTCGTTTTTTCTACGTGGCACTAGCACGAAAATTCTTGTGTGTGTATACAAAATACGAGCCCGATTATCGAATCTCTGTAAATTAGATATGATAAAAATATACTTACTAGGGATTGCCAACGAAATTGCACTAGTATTTTGCAAGTATTTCGTAATTTAAACGCCAGTTGTACACAATTCACAAACTTGGGTGATTCACCACGGGCCTCGCCGTCAATAGCGAACATTTGACAGATGTGACTTGCGGCAAGTGAGCGCGTCCCTGCATTAGGGATGCGGTCAAGAGAACACCAAGCGGTAGTGTACCACCCAGCCTCGTACCAAGCCGTTCGAAAAGCGAGTGAAAGGTTCAAAACTACTGACAAATTCCGACAATTTCAGCTACAATTTTCATAATTCCTGCAACAATTTCAGCGATTCCAGTGAAAATTCCAATTTCACAAAACAATTTTGATAGTAAGTAACACAAAAACTATCACAGCCTGCAAAATCCCAATGGAAATTTCCAAAAACCCGAGTTTCTGCTAACCCTACTAGAAATTCAAATAACTTAGAAATTAATAATAACACCTTTATTCCTGGGTCCGATTCCGAATCAGTTCAGAACTAATTTTGGACTTTCGCAGAGCAGATGCCCAGCCCCCCGATTTTCAACCTCTAGTCGCAACCTATCGACACCGACTTCCCATTGCCTTTCTACAGGGAGTCGGGACGTTACGTATCGACTTGACGATTGAGAATCGGTACTCAGTTCTGATTTTAACCGCGAACACTAATGGAACCAAATGAAAACACCCCAATCTTTCAGTTGTCATACTTTCAGCATATTTGCACCTTGTTTATATTTTGTTTATGTTTTGATTTGGATTTGCTCACTGGAAATATTGGAATTTTAAATTTCCCATCCATATTCTAATAAAAAAACTGAGCTGAAGAAGTTTTTTGAGGGTAAACAACAAAAAATAAATTGGCAAATGAACAATGTGTTGATTTTTTGAAATGTTGTTTTTGAGGGGTGCCCCTGTCACAGAGCTACCAGCGATAATTTATTTTAAAAAAATTAAGAGCTCCTCCTCACAAAAAAGAATTAACTCCACAAATTTCCAATATTATTAAAAAGCATAATATAATTATTGCCTGTTGAAACCAAGGTTGAAACTTAATAAATCTTTCACAAAATTGAAAGACAAAGCTACAATAAAAATTTAATGTTGTTGGCCCAAGTCCTGTGCTCTCTGACAACATGTTGATCAAATTGGACACTTGATGGATGAAAAATGTTACTGTTCTAACCAAATGAGAAAAAAATTGATCAAAAAGTTGTTTTTATTATTATTTTAATTTATTTTTTATTTTGAATATCATCATTTTGATCATTATGTACCTTTAAGACCAAGTTTAAGACTTTGCTTTTACCTTTTTTTAACCAGTTTTTATCAATTTCTTGAGTCAAAAAGTTTCAATATTCTCTCAGAATTCTTATACCATAAGAACACAAATCAAATCAATGTATCACTAAAAAAGATCAATCTTAACTCAAAATGTTTTTTTGTTTTTTACAAATTTATATAAAAAAAATTAAGTTGTGACTGAAGAAGCAATAAAACTATTGTGGAAACTTTTACAGGAAAAGGTGATTTTCTGAGAAAAAACATTCGCCATATTCCAAGTACTTATTCATTTATTGATTTGAATCGAGCCATGAAAATTTCCTGATCTAATAATAAAACTATCTACCTATTATACATTATATGAAAAAGTTGCATTTTAAAGCAGATTTCAAATAAATTCGAAAACAATCTATGTATAAAAAAAATAGTTCTTGACAAAATTTGATGATCCACAAAAGATTTCAGGTTTAACTTTCGTGTATATTTCGCATAATTTATAGCCATTCCAATTTCCACAACTTATGGGTATGGGTATGTTTGCCCTCCAGGACATCTCTGTTTCATTCAAATTGCCCTCCCTGGTTGCATTGGCCAATTGAGAATACATAATTTACTTGAAAAGACAATGAGTCTGGCATGCAAATTGATTTTCTTAAAGAATGTGTTCAAGCAGCTCAGGTTTCACATCCTCAGAGACTATGTGATGCGACGAGTGATTGATGTGACATGTCGACAATAACCCAGTGTTGTCTAGTCTTTCCAAAATTTGGTGAATTTGCATTGAATTTTTTGTTTTGGCAGTGCCAGACTCTCTGTGCCCATTATATGGGGTATCCATAATGAGAGGTGTAAATATTAGGAAAATTTCAAAAGTAGAATTGTCCGATAATAGAAGGCTCTGTTTTATGGAGGTTCAACTGTAATAACAGCAACAAATGTGTTAATAAATTAATAACAATGAGTCACTTTGGCATCTATGCATGTGTAATAATAAAACTACGTTTCAATGTTATCAAATCTGGCATCCTTGCTGGTATGCTGCTCAATTAAAAACTGTAATTATTTTTTTTAATTGAATTTATTTGGTCAATGTCAAGTGGACATAAAATCCTGATTGTTGCCCATGTGCACAGGTCCCATTGGCATTTAAATGTCATTCTACAAACCAAACAAGCATTTCCTAACCCCCAAAAACCGGATATTGTGAAAATCAAGCAAAACCAAAATATTTGCAAATTGCCAGTCTCTTTGTTTGTTGCCACCATTTTGTTAAGGGTCAGGGTAGGCCGGCGCGTTCTGTCACAAAAATAAATGAAAACTCCTTCCCCCTCCTCACCCTAGATTAGTGATTATCAACAAATAATTACAATTTTCACTGGAAAAAAACATGATTTTTTCAATGAAAGATTTTCAAATGGCAAGCTAAAGGATTGCCAAATAGGAAACTTGCTGTTTTTCAAAGAAAATTAGCGTTTTTATTTTATAAAAAAAGGCATTTTTCATTCAATGAAAGCTGTCAAAACAAAAAGAACTTACCCGCAAGGGATTCCTCAACTTCTTCGTCAGATGCCATAAGTAAATTTCACATTCACAGCACCACTTAAAATTAATTGCTAATTGTTCGGCACTTTCGTTATTTGTTTTTTTTATTTTTATTGTTTAGAAAGAACACGAAAGGCTGCGAAACGTAGCCACCGCCACCGTCCACCACACGAGACAGCCCGACCCACAGCAAAGTGAGAACTTGAGAAGTGAATGAAGCAAGGCAATGCTCCTGGTTCGTCTTTCTCTTTCTCTCCCTCACTTCCTAGTATCGCTTATCTCTTTTCAATCTCCCGCGTCGTGCCGAGCCATGTGTGAGGCTGTCAACTGTCAATATATTGCGCGTTTGCCAAAAAAAAAAGCCGGCCACATGAAGCCTGTGCTCCAGCGCAGCGTTTCTCGTATCGGATTTTCTGCTGGGGTGCGTTCAAAGACGGCAATGCTAATGCCAAAACCTACTTTTCCCCCTCCGCCGGTAATGCCGAATCACGTAAGTTGGAGCCGAACTCGAACGCAAAATGCCAATTTTGGCTTGGCTGTAGCCATTCCTGAACGCAGCCCTGAACAAACTCAACATTATTTAATTTACTGTATTTCTTTTACCCGTTGAGCTACTCGGAGCTGCTCAATGTCAAAAGCTTGAACGTTTCTTTTAAAAGTGCGTTAAGCACTCGAGTCGCTCATAGTGCATCGTGGATCCCCCTTACCCCTGATACACCAAATTTTTGGGCGGTGCAAGAACAAGTTTAGTGGCGGCAAGTACTTTCCGCCAGTAAATTTCCCAAGTGTAAACGTAGCTTTAGGTAATGCGTTGAAAGAATAAATCTGAATTGAGTGACTCCGAGGAGCTCTATAGCGACACGTTCGGTGTAATTCGAAGTATAAAAGGATTACAGTAATTGAATGAATAAACTTGATCAACAAATTAGTTCCAGAACATTTTCTACTAGAAACCCTATTGAATTATCCGTTTTTATTTCAATTATTATTGGAAGGAAAATTAAAATCAACCGCAAAAAGTTGCACGAGGACACGGCCTTAGTTCTATCCCTGGCGTGGCGTGAAGCCTAAAAGTTCGCATATTCGTTAATAGATGGCGCCACCATGGAATAAATTCTATTAAAATTATTTTCTAGTGTCAAAACAAAGAATGTTTTGTTTAAAATCAGCTGTTCAAAAAATATCACAAATTCCAGTTAAGCCGCTAAATCAGTGGTTGATAATTTCCAAGCCTTTTATATTGGAGGCCTATCCCTCATTGTTGCAGCAGCAAGCGAGAAAAATGAGCTCTGTAGTTCAAGTCGTCGATATTCCAACTTGGAAGGAACAAGCTCGGGAAAAGGATCTGCCGGAAGCCGGTAAAGCTCTGCCAGGAAATGATATTGATAAATCGAAGAATGATGTTCTGGCTGGAAAGGTTTCTCTGTGGCGTGGGGACATCACGAAACTGAAGGTAAAGTTATTCTTGCATTTTGGATGAAATCCAATTCAGTCCAGATCCAGATCCAGATCCCCACCACAAATTCCTCTAATTATTACCCCACAGATTCCTCCAAATTTGCTGCAAATTCCTCCAAATTCCTGCAAATTCCCCACAAATGCCTCTTACAAATTTCCTGAAAATCTCCATAGCTGCTCGTGATAAGAAATGTATTTTTTTATTTTTATTTCGCTAAGTGTTGAAACATGAGCAGTTTATCAAGTAGGATCAAATGCAAGGTCACAAAGTTAACTTTAGAGTTAGAGATAATGATTGGTTTTTTGGTAATCCAGGATGCTAGGGGTTAAACTAACCTAAACCTGAATTTGATCTACCTAATTTATAAAAAAAACCTTTTTAGGAAATTAAGGGCAGGTTGATTCACATTCTGATAAACTGTCAGGTACTCAATCTAACACAATCAGTAATCTCATTGGCTGGCCAGTTATCTGCTGACAAATAGAATTATAGAACAGTGAATTTATCTTGCAGATAGTTACTAGCAAGTTTATCTGAAGATGAATAAACCGGACTTAAAACAAATATAATACCAAGTACTTATAATGCATATGCTACCTTTCATTGTATATGTATATCCACAATATTGAGGATAGACCGAGGGATAGACCTATCGTTTCTTTTTATTTTAAGTGGGCCATTTCCTAAAAGTTGAACAGAAACAGGACTATTGAAAATAAATTTGATCTGAAGCTTGGCATAGTCAGGCTGAGTAGGCCATACAAATTTGGCTAGGCTAAGACCCCTGCGGTCAGGCCCTTATTGTCATTTTCCTGGTTATTGATCCCTATTTCATATGCGTGTCTTTCATGAAATCCTCGCAGATGCGTCCGATGTTGCCTGGTGTGCCTGCGATTTCCAGTTTCTAGTTAACATTTGGCCCCAATGCCGAGTTGAAAGCATTTTTGAGATCTAGGCCCACAAGCAGCTGATGTGAGCTCTCCTTCCTATTTCTGTCTATAGTCCTGGTTAACTGGTGAAGCTCTTCAATCGTTCCTGTCCCTTCTCTGAACCCCTACTGTCTTTGATTTATATTGCCCAGGTGATGTTGTTGTCTTTTGTTGAGCACTTTGTCTAGTATCTTTCCCAACATTGGCCTTATGTCTGTACCTATTTCACGCCTTGTGTTTTCATTTATAGCCTTTAAATAAATATTATTCTTTCTTGAACATCAAAATTGTTCTATATTTAATAATTTTAGTATTTTGGCAGCCTAAATGAAGTAATTTAGTGCAAAAACGAATGTAATCTGATGATCGTTATGCTTAAAACTCGACAAATCCAAGATTGCAGTGTTTTTTTCAAAATGGCCGATTTTCTCCAAGATAGATTTTTTGGGAATTTTGGGACATAAATTTAATTATTGACTTTATGAAGAGTTCAAATTTGAAGTTAATCAGTTACTCTGATATGATATACTAACTGATTGGGATATGGGATATGTTCTGCCTTTGGAAAGAATTATTTTTATAATTCGTTTTCCAATTTGGTCATAATGGTCCAATCCAGCTATTTTCCTTGGACTTGAAAATTGCAAAAGTAGTACCTATCTATAAAAGCAAACGAATGGAAACTTTCCACCACGATTTTTTGGACTGGAAATGAAATTCTGGAAAAACGATCGGATACGTCGGTTTTCGATTTGAGGGGGACCCATTTTTCAGTTTTTTCCACCCCCGTAGCTTTAACCCCCTAGCTGGGGGGAGAACAACCCCCTAAATTTGAATAGGGGATAGGGGTCATATCATACCTCTTTTTAAAGGCCTCATCGAATTCTTGAAGACCCTAGAATTTCGTCTTATCATTTTCATGCGTAACGAAATCACAGCTTGTCAAAATCTTGGAAATAGACTATTGTTTTAGTAGGAGTAAAGGCGATATACTTACTTCCCTTAATAAAAATACTTGAAATTGGAGTTTTTTATTATTATTATTAATAAGGTATACACGTGAATTGTAAATTGTAAGTATTTTTATTAAGGGTATTGCTTCTACTCCTACTAAAACAATAGTCTATTTCCAAGATTTTGACAAGCTGGCATTTCGTTACGGATAAAAATAATAAGACAAAATTCTCGGGTCATAAAGAATTCGTTGAGATCTTTAAAAAGAGGTATGACACGAACCCTATCCCCTATTCAAGTTTGGGGGGTTGTTCTCCCCTCAGCTAGGGGATTAAAGGTACAGGGGTGAAAAAAACTGAAAAATGGGTCCCCCTCAAATCAAAAACCAACGTGTCCGAGCGTTTTTCCAGATTTTCATTTCAAGTCAAAAAAAGGGGGGTGGAAAGTTTCCATTGGCCCACCCTGTATAACCAATTATGTATTATTTTGTAAAAATTCTAGAATCATTAATGAAAGATCAGATAAATAATCACTGAAAGTGGTAATATTTTTAAGTACGTAGTTTTAGAAATAAAGAATCTACAACCTTGGCAATCAACCGCCACAAACTCATTTATTTGTTTGTTATTTGCAAAGGGTTTTGAAGAAAAGCTCACTTATGCTTCCTTCCTTCTCGTTTGACATCCTTTTTAACAAAGTTGTACCCTTTAATAGTATGAGCTCGAGCAGATCAAGCATGGCGTCGCTCAAGGCTCTGTGTTGGGCCCCCTTCTTTTCCTCATCTAAATCAATGACTTCCCAAATTTCTGTGATTTTGTGAATTATTTACTAATCTTATTTGCTGACTACACAACCAGCTTGCAACAATATCACCCGTCAGAACCTATCAAAGAGATAATAGGAAACAGCCAAAAAGAAATTAAGAACTGGTTTTTAGCTAACAAACTCAGTCTCAATAATAGCAAAACTCAAAATCTTAATTTGACATTAAGAACCACTGAATGTGAGCTACCTAGTGACGAGACAGTCAAAGTTTTCTGTGTGTATCTCGACCCAGGGATACTCATGTGGAGAACCTTAGCGCCAAGCTTTCTAAAATTACATTTCTGTTAAGAAACCTTTCAAAGCATGTTTCTACTTCCACTTACCATGGCTGATTCTGCTCGAATATGTCATTTATGCAATACTGAATTGGGGTCATGCGCCAAAAGCCAAGAAAATTTTTAAACTCCAACGTAGGTGCATAAGAGGTGCAGGTTTAAAGTACCGAGACTGCTGTAAGGATAACATTAGGAGCTTACAGATTTTGACTTTCCTCTTTGTTTTCATATTGAACTGCCTTATCTATGTCAAAAAAAATCAAGAACTTTTCCTGACTCATGCAGATTTCCACTCATATGAAACCAGAAATCGTAACTAACTGGTACCTATTGTTTGCCCAGCGGATCTGAGTCTACGGAAGGAATTCGGACGTAAATGTGCCATGTTGCCACGTTTAATTATAAAAAAGCGAAAATACTAAGCATGAAGTATAGTTAATTTGAAAATCCGTTTTTTGATAACAAAATATTGATAACAATAATAAAACGCTAAATATTTTAACGTGGTTGTTAGACCTATCCTTATTTTAATCCTGATTTCTTCAGTTTGGTCTATTGTAAAAAATAAACATTTTCTAAAGATACCATCAGCTTTTGACAATTTGGCAAGCATCCGTCCTGGATGAACCTGATTGGTGGAGTTTTTGGCAGGATCGCCATTGTCATGGGGAACCATACGGTTGTCAAAGAGCTAACGTCACCTTACGTCTCGCTATTGGCCAGGGCTCACGTCATTTTATCCTCCCATCTTGGAATATCGATTTATATTGACATATCCAGTGGCGGAGATTTGGTCATTGCTGATTTTCGTGTACGAGTTGCAATACCATAACACTTCAAAAAAGTTCCGCACGCAGCTGGGTATTTTATGAATGAAATCAGCCATTTTTTTTTACAACTGCATTCCCCTTAACCGTTGCCCCGTAGACACAGACTCGCTGGGCAGACATTAGCTACCATCGATTAGAAAGAACTTGGGGTTCAGATCACTTTGGGATAAGATTTTTTAATGCTCTTCCTAATGATGTGAAAGACCTTGAGGAGAGAAAATTAATTTGAAAAATTAAAAAATACCTTCTTCAGGGTGCATTCTACTCTTTTGAGGAGTACCTTGATGTTGATGTTTTTGATTAGGTAATTCAATATTGTTGTGTCTTATCTTCAATCTTTTAGTGTCTGTGTTGTTAGTTTCTGTCCCTTGTCTCTTTCTATTCCATAGTTTTAACCAAATTTTTATATTTAAAACAGTCATTTTATTAAGAAATCTGTACTTAACACTTTCTGACTTGTAAAAGCACTTATGTGCAATTAATACCAATAACTAAACTAATCATTATTTGTACTAGTGCCTTCCCTAAAAGCAAACTGATTGTTGCTCGGATTGTTGTTTAAGATTCTGTTTTTCATCATCCAAAAAACTAATGTCTAACACATGTCCCATACAGGAAGCAAATACCCTAATATTCGAGAGAAAGTATGGGTTTTACTGTCTTGAAAGATAATTTCTGGCCATGTCCAAATTTGTAATCACTGAAATATGTAAACCTATCTGAAAGATACTTAATATGCCGACGCCACTAGGAAATTAAAAGAATAATAATAATAATGCAACAAAAATCCATGTGTTTTGAAGACGTAAACTTAGTTTTCCCAAATTAACAGTTTCTCATAATAGATAAGATTTTAGATTGATGCCATAGTAAACGCAGCTAATTCAAGTTTGCTCCCTGGAGGGGGTGTGGATGGTGCCATACATAAAGCTGCTGGTCCAGACCTACGAAAAGAATGCAAAGATTTGAATGGTTGTAAAACTGGAGAGGCTAAGATTGCCCAGGGCTACAAATTACCTGCGAAATGTAAGAATTTTCTTAGGTATATCTGGTTTAATTGCTTGAATCATTAAATCAATTTAAGATGTCATTCTAACTGTGGGGCCAAAAGGTGAATATCCAGCTGACCTCAAAAACTGCTACGTCAACAGCCTCACAAGAGCGTTGGAGAAGAATCTTCGGACTGTAGCTTTTCCATGTATTTCCACTGGCATTTATGGTTACCCAAATGAGAATGCTTCACATGTAGCTATCCATACAGTGAGGCAGTTCCTAGAAGAACACAGCGAAAAGTTTGACAGAATTATTTTTTGCGTCTTCTTAGATGTAGATAAAAATCTGTATGAGCAAGTACTGCAAACCTATTTTCCAGTCTAATCGATTTAATAATTTTTGTAATTATGTACTTGCCTGTACAAATTAATTATGATATGTTTAATACTTAATTATTTTAGAAGAAATTCCTTGTTTGTAATGTTTGTATCCTAGATAACACTTGTTTTTTTAATAAAGGTATTTTCAACATTTTTGATTAATTTTTTTTCACACTTTGCTCTTATGTAAACACCAGACCTCACTCAAAAATTTTTGTTGAACATCTGTTGGGGATTTTTGAGAATCTTCATCAATTTGAAGGGGGTTTTCAGCTAGCTGATTGTCAATTAGAAACTGTGCTATTAGCATGCTTTATTGTCAGAATGTATGTTGGAAAGATTAACTATGTAAACTAGTTATGTATTATTTTTTTTATTTACGACTAATGTATAATGTGCGTATTATATTTGTGATTTTGGCAGTATAATGACATATGTTATTCCTTCAGGGATTAATGACGAGTAGCGGGATTAATGGTCATTATTCCACAAAAGTGTCAGTGTCAAACGTGTAGTGCGTGTGGATTTGTATTGAAAATTATGAGACGGATGAAATTTGTTCATTGAAAATCTCAAATAAATTAATTTGTCGTAAATAAAGTAGAGTATACTACTCGCAATAATGGCTATTATTCCCTCGGAATGTTACTCCCTCGCCGCTATCGCGGCTCAGTTCGTAATAATCCTCGGGAATAATAGCTATCATTATTGACTCGTGGTATAATCTACTATTATGTGGGTAAGTATGTACGTTTGTAGGTACATACGGGGTCGGACAGGTAGGCATAAAAGAAAGGATTTGAGAGTCGAATACCACAGTCGTGGAAAATTAATCTGGTCTGTTTAATATATTAATTTGTTACGGAATTATATTGAGTTCAAATAAGTAAATAAGTGTAGTTTACAAAATAAATCTACTCTAATTCTACTAAGGTACTTCTAAAATAAAAATTACTTATTTTTCACAGCGCGTAAGCACGTAGCATTCACTTGAAACATTTAATTAAGTACTTAGTCTTATATCGAGACACGAGCCATGCTCTTATAGAGGAATTTTAGACTTCAAAATAAACCCCTAGAAATATCTGTGGTAGAGTTGCAATTTCTGCAGAGACACATATCCTGGCATTTATGTGGTAATTTTAAAAATATGAGATTTTTATAAAATGCATTCTTGAATAGTAGTACCTACTGAAGGTACCTATTCTGGTTCTGTAGGTTTGCTGGAAACAAAGTCTCTGTTTTTTAGCTTCCAACAAACTGTCTTTTAAGTATGCCTTGCAATTTATGACAAATATCAAGTGGTTCAGACGGAAATTCGTATCAAAAACATAAATTAACAGCAACGCCAAAACATTCGCTAACTGATAAAAACACTAAGATTACATGGTCCCGAATCTGCTCTAGTCATATCGATATCAATATCATATTTCAATTTCCTTATACCTCAAAAGATCTCCCAAAAACTTCCTAATTGTAAACTTCAAATACCGCAATCGGTAACTTTGCTCACGTACATAGAAATATATCCGATATTGGAAAATATAGCAAAAGTTTCCTAATAAAAACCAACGTTAACGAGTTTCTCCGTTTCAAGTTCTTATATGACTGTTTCTGGGTCATAGCTATATGTTTATTAACTTTCAGGCAATAATATTATTAGAACAGATATATGGAGTTATTTCATCAACGATTAATTTTTTTTAGAAATTAAACATTTAACTCTGCCTTCTCGCATCGGTTTACCATTGTCAGGCTTTTCTTTGAAATGACTAATGCATTGTAAAAAGGCGAATATAACTTGTATACATATTACATATTGTTAAGTTAATATTCGAAAGCAAACAAGCTTTGTTTGTTATCTTTTTTGGCTTAAAAATCGTACCTACCATAAAATTTAGTTGCATTGTAGGTAAACTATTTTTTATTTTATTTTCAGTTTCGCTTTTACCGCCGAGAAAAATGCATTTTCAACATTAGGTATATCGTTTAAACTAAAAACATCGCAATATTGGTGATTATCATGTACAACATTCCTCCTAGACATGATGGGAAAAATGAGGTAAGTACATAGGTACCCCACGCAAGTACTCTATAATACTAATAATTGTATTATTTATGGAAAAAAAATGTGGAATTTTGGTTTACACAAGTTTGATTTGTAAATTGTTGATTATTGCGTCAAACTAAACATTTATAGTTTCAAGATAAACCTCAAACCGCTGGACTTTGTCGCGACTTATGACATCAAACTAAATAAGTGAGCACTTGCCAATCAATTTCCGAGAAGTTAACAATACGAAAATCATCTTACTTGCTGGCCCTGAAAAGCCCCTCATTTTTAAAAGTTTCAGATTTGATGATGCTCATTCCAATGACCCTAAATTTATCGGCGGATTGTTGTTACGTCTCCAGGCATTGTCTATCAGACTCTGTAGATTCAAAAAACAAGCTTTCTGTATATAAAACTCTGTCATTTTTTTATGTTATGGGGAAACTTAAAATATGGTCGAATTTACCTTCAGCCAACGTAGTGGAAAATAAAAGAGTTGTGTTTGTATGCAAACGAGTTTTTAAACGGTCTGGTCTAAAAACTTTTACTTAACCAGAATTAATAAACGTTTAAAACCTTTGCTTTCGAAATATGCAAAAACTTATTTCCTGGTTCTGATTCTGGATTAATCGAATCGAAGTGCACGTACATACTTTTGTAATTAACGAATTCGTGCAGTCAATGAAATTAGCCAAAATGTTTCGTACGAATTAGAAATTATTACCTATGCCCAACAAACAGAACAAATAAACATAACTCTTATCTCGTTAAATACTGCTGGACACTTCAACTTACACATACAGATTTTTAAGCAAAATTTATCGCCCCGTATATCATAACCCTATAAGATCTTATGGGAAATTTACGGCAAGCTTTATCCAGAAAAAACAGGCTATTAAAATCCACAAACCGCGTTGAAAAAACTTTATTCGTGTCGAAAATATGAACATTTGAATTTTGTCCGAAAATCTGTATAGGTATGTCAAAGTTCGAGTGTCCAGCAATTTATTTTGAAAATAGCTTGCTAATCTGACTTCTGTATTCCGGAGGTATCCAGGCAACTCAAATTTTTCTTCATATCGACAAGCAAATTCTTCGTAGGAATAGATTTTATGAATGACTTGAAGTAAAGCTTGACTCGTCATATAAAATGACTCCCTACACTGAATGAACAGCTCGAATTGTTATATTTTTTTAAAATTGAATCAAAATTGAAGAGGTTGACGATGCGAACAATTAAAGACTGTTAGATAATCCTCTGAAGAGTTTCTAAAATTAGATGATTTGAAACCTTCGACCATTGAACACTCTCTCTCTCTCTAGACCAATAACGTTAATAATTTGCTATAGAATTTTTTTGGCTCCTGAATGAGACCAGGCCCTCTCTCTCGCACTTATAAAAATATAATGTTTATGAACCAGTCTGTTTATGTTTTGATCATCAGGGGGCTGCGTTCGAGAACTTGGTTGTTGCAGTGGAAATTATTTCAGGGGGTGCATCCTCAAAATATCAGCTTTAATTTTACTCTAGTCGGGACTAGAGAGTTCGGTGCGCGCATCAGTACGCGTCAACCACCCTTGAACCGAAACACTTCGCCTTTCCGAACGGCACCTGTGTGATTTTTATACGACACACCATATTCTCGAACGCAACCCAGCTGATCTGCCACAAAAAAGGAGAGAAAACAAAACAATTACTACGTCATTGCCAAACTGTAAAAGCTTTCTTTAGAAGCAGGTAGGTACCCACATAACAGTGAAAGAACATTCATATTCTCAGAATATTCCCTCAAAGTGCTTTTTGGAATGTTCTTTTAGGAATGTTTAATGAATATTCTAAGATTGTTTCGATTGAAATATTTATTTTTGAACGTTCTATTTATGTACTAGGAATGTTGCTTCTATGCACCTATCTGAAAGATTGTGCTAAGAACCTACTTTATATAACATTATTTGAATATTCTCATACGAACATTATTATAATGTACCCTAAAAAATGTTCTTTAAGCTAATATCTCTATCAAGTATTAAGAATATACCTACCAAGTTGTGCTGAGAAGTTTATGTGGGTAGATAACCATGATAAGAATATTTTCATATTGTTCACCCAATTATCTAAAGTACCTACTTGAAAATCTTAATTGTACAATTAAATAATAATGCTCTATCTAGAACCTACTAAGAATATTATAGGTATATTCTTTTTCTCTTGCTTTGTATGACTTCCAAGAGAGGGGAGCCACGCGCTATTAAAGATCTACATCTTGCTTCGCATTTGAATCACCTTGAAACCTGTTTCTCTCAGTTGGTGTGCTTCGACGAGAGCATAACAAGCTCGAAACCGGAGCTTTGGTTAAATACTTGTGTTTTCTAGAGAAGTTTTCCAACAACTCTTTCACTGCCTTTAATATAAAAGGGTTGAAACGAGCATTATTTGGAAGCGAAAATTAACATTCCAAGTATATCCTTAGAATCAAACAAGAATGTTATGTCTAGGAGATCGAGAATGATATATGTAGATATATTCTAAGAATATTTCAAGCATATTGGTATAATATTCTTTCGAGAACATAACTATAATGTCATAGAAACATTCTTTGAATGTGAGAATATACATTTTGAGCATATTTTTAGAATCAAACAGGAATATTCTTTTCCGGATGTAGGTACTGAGAATCTCATAGGTATATTCTAGGAATATCCTAATGGATTTCCCAGGAAGTTCTTGGGTATTGCAAACAGTATTTCTACAATCTTTTCTCAGAACATTCTCAGGACATTTGCAATGGTTTTGGCGAACATTCTAGGCACATTCCTAAAAAAAGAACATTCCTAATACATTCTAAGGATGCAATATTGTTATGTGGGTAGTTCTTTTTGAAACCAAATGGAGTGGTGATAAAGGGTATTATTGATTTAGAATTATTTTAGATATAGATTTCGTCCCAATATATTTTAAATCGATTATAAGCAGAAAAATTTCAAATAGATACTTTTTATTAAATGACGATATTCATTATTATTTGAACAAAAAAAAAATCGGCAACAGGGCCTTTTTTCGTTTTGTTTATTTGATAAATCACCCCTCTGCTTCATTA